CTGCCCTATAAATATTGCCACGTTTTTCTTAATCACCGTATAGAGTTTGCACTAGGAAACTGATGTTGACTATCAATATAAATAAATGGGGCTAGTATCTTTTAGATCCATTTAAGGACGCTGGAATACATATGGTTGGTTATCTTCAGGCAGACTACCTTAATCTGTGCTCATATACAGGGTGTTCCTTAATGATATACGAATATTTAAGGGTGTGAATCTACATGAAAAATTAAAGTTAGTTTGGTTTATAAACTATGGTCCAAGAATGTGTCCTTACAAAAACTCGGGGTGTTGAAGTTTTAGGAAAAAAATGGAAACTAATTCATATTTTCAGAACCGCTTCAGATATTTCATTGATATTTAGTACGTAGTGAAAGTTAATAAAGTTGCATATTTTTCAATGTAAAAATAATTTTTAGCTTTAACAGTGGCGTGCGTACGGGTTTTGACTTCGATATTTTTTAAGAAAAAAGTGGTACGCCACTGGTTTTTTGGCCAAATAATAATTATTTTTGAATTCCCCGTTCAATTTAAAACAAATGATCTCTCCTGAATTGTTTTACTTCGATGCGCCATTTTTGAGTAAAAAAATAAAAACCATTCTATTGTCTAACTTGTCTAAATTATTATTAATTTAATTCTGAAAATTAGACACATTAGGGGTAATGAACAACAACAACTGACAACATAGACATAACATTAAAACCAACGAAATGATTACAAAAATTGTTGAAAATGGCCTCCACTTAGTATGCATGCTTTCCGTCCTCCTTATGGGATTGCGCACTCGTTGAAATATCCCTGGAGTGTTTTTTATTCTATCACAAGCTGCAACTATTCATTCTCTTAATTCCTCTACAGTGTTCATGGGACTTGTGTACACTAGTGTCTTAAGATAGCCGCACAAAAAGAAATCTAAACTGTTGAGGTCTGGGGACCTTGGTGGCCATTCTTGGGGCCCACAGCGCCATCGATTTGGATAAACAGTTTGTAAATAATTACGAACCGCTACACTGAAATGCGCTGGTGCACCGTCACGCATGTACTACATATTGTTTCTTATTACTAACGGAACATCATCAAGCAGCGAAGGCAACTGTTGTTGAAGAAAATTGAGGTAAGTCTGTCCGTCAAGTCGTCCCGGCAAGAAGAATGGGCCAATAAAGTGGTTGTCAATAATTCCTGCCCATTCGTTAACTGAAAATTGGTGTTGGAAATGGGTTTCGGTTACGGCATAGGGATTTTCTTCTGCCCACAAATGATTATTGTGGAAATTCTGAATTTCATTTCGAGAAAAATTAGCTTCGTCCGTGAGCAGAAAGAATCATTGGTTCAAATTGCGTAATTTTTTGAAGTTACCACTCACAAAAGGTTACACGCCTTGGAAAATCAATGGGAAGTAATGCCTGTACTCTTAAAATATGGTAATGATATAACAAAAAATCCACTAAAATTCTCCAAACAATTTGATGGCAAATATTTAAGTGTCTAGCGATCTTTCTCGTACTTGTTTCAGGATTATCTTCGACTTCATGCAGCACTGCTTCCTCAATTTCAGGTGTTCTCACACTTAGAGGTCTACCTTCAGATGTTCCTTTCCGGACAGAACCAGTTTCAACAAGACGACGATGAATATTAGAGAAGATTCGACTATCTGGCAAAGCACGATCGGGATATCTCTGGTGATAAATCCGTCTGGCTTGCTCACCATTACCGTCGGCAAGGCCAAATCGCATTTCCGCCATTTCTGCATTTGAATAATTCACCATTATTAACAAGATTGTAAAAACTAAATAATGAAAAAGATGTCACATCGAACATATTTGAATAACAGAGACTTGTCAGATGTCAAAAGCCAGTGACATATTCCAGAGCAACTAGATATTTATTGCTAAATTGCATTATTCAATTATTACATTAATTTTCTCGGACAATAGAACGGTTTTTATTTTTTTACTCAAAAATGGCGCACCGAAGGAAAACAGTTCAAGTGAGATCATTTGTTTTAAATTGAACGGGGAATTCAAAAATAATTTTTATTTATTTAACTTCAACGCCCCTCCGAGTTTTTGGACCATAGTTTATAAAGCACACTAACATTAATTTTTCATATAGATTCACACCCTTAAATATTCGCATATCATTAAGGAACACCCTGTATGTATAGCAGGAAAATTGTATTGAGTAAAACTGGTTGTTTGTTGCCTGTCTAGTAGGAACAGTCTCGATACGCACACCGCACTGCGTATGATGTATACAGCTCACGGTAACATACTGTACATATTTAAACGCATCTCCGCCCAATTATCAACAGAATGTATTTAATTATTAAAAGACAGATGTGTTCTCATAGTGGCGTGCAGGCATTTAAATTATAATATGCAGGCTAGCTAACTTGAGCTGAAGACAAGCTGGCTAACATCTTCCTCACAGCTAGTTTGTGAATAGATTAGAGCGTATGGTAACGGTACATCTCAATCCACTCTATATTGAAAATGCGTTTATAAATAGGATTGCAAATTGCTCTGGGCGCTAAGCAACTACGCGGAAGCCCGTATGCGAACTAGAATCCAACGGTCTAAGATGACTTTGCGGCCGATCTACTGTGAGAACTGTTGGAATCATGGGAAACGCAATTTCATTTTACTGATCATGTTACATCCCTATGTTCTTATCAACTCGTTTCTTGACTCTTTGTCAGTCTTCTAAGTATATTTTTTGCAACCGATTTTTTTTTGATACCGAGTCACCCGCGAAGGCAAAATCCCAAGTACCGAATGCTAAAAATATGTAATAATAATCGTCTTTAATGACCAAAACATGGTATATTACATGGGCCGAGATTTAACACCTGCTATTCCACCGTCTAACCCGGTATAAAGGAAACGCATTATACAAAACCAAAACTGAAAATAGATGGATTGAAACTGAAAATAGATGGATTAAGTCACAATACAATAGAATGAGTAATGCCCTTTCAGTTATAAAAAGATGAAGAGATAATAGGTTATAAAAAAACGGAAAAATAACTCCGATCAAAAATATAAAGTATGAAAATGAAAGAACTTCTTAAGCCGGCGGTTGTTCTGCAATTCTTGTAAATATATTTTTAACTGAATTTTAAAACTCAGGGACGACTCGATAGACTTCGTCATGTAACAGATAGATATTTGATTGATCGGATTTGTATATTGTCCAATATTCCACCATCTCGACACTCCAGAGTTAGTCGAATATCACACGATCTCACAATAAAATATATCAAAAAATTAAATAAAATTTCAAAAACTACAACGCTTTTTCGTCCTTGGCTCAGTAGTACAATTGTGTAAAAATTTCATCTAAATCTGAGCGGTACTTGCCAGTACGGGCCACGAATTAGAGGACAGACATACACACCGACGGAAATAAGTGACATGGTTTTTCATAACATAATATCAAAAAAATAATATCTCCATTTCGAAATTTTTCAGGCTAGTAATCGTGTATGTAAAGGTAGTCGAAAGTCAAACGGAAAAACAAAATTTCCTTATAACCGCCGTCATAAAAAGGCAATTAATTATACGTTCTTCCTGCAATGTTCATTTTTTTTCAGTCTCGATTGTCGATTTCCGTTGGGCTCTAACCACAAGTTGCAATCACGACCATAAAAAAGCCATCCACGCATTTCCAACTGGCATAAAAAGCTATAAGGAGAAAATAGAGGAAGGCAATTCACATCTTAGAACGGAAATGGCATTGCTGTCCTGTTATTCGAAATTACTTAATTGCAGAAAAAATACAGGAAACTGCCCAGGATTCAGCGGTCTGAAGAAACCATTTACCACACTTTTTTTCTTCGCTTCTCGGTAGTCGAGGTGGTTTATGTGGTGGATAATTGTCGGAAATCCTGAATTGGGAAGTTGCAAGATCAGGAGTAATTTTACTTAAACACTTCTAAATATGTGCATCAATGTCTTTATCTTGTCCGATTGCAAGATATAGAAACGTCCGACTCAATTACTCTCCAGTGGCGCACTTAAAATTTCCGGGGTACAAAGTAAAAACGTTTTCTTTCGATAAAACTGGTGCAGTTTCTGTTTGAAACACTGCCAGTGGCGGATATAGAAAATATTTTTTGGGAGGTCTATAATACGATGAATTTGAAATTATCCGCTCAAAAAAGTGTTGAGCGGGGGAGTCCGTCTCGGGAAGAGGGGTATGAAAACTGAAGAACGGGAGGATCAGTGATTCGATTTTTTTTAAACATTGATATTTCGGGGAGGGGGGCGATTTGAACTTAATCAATGTGTAGCACTTCAAGAAATATTTTGAAACCAGCGCGATTTGGCAAACTGAAACTAGGAACGCATTGCCGGTCGATCAACGAGATCCACGGGCCGATCCAGAAAATATTTCGGGATAGGGTCCATCTAATGAATTTAAAATTTGTGACCAGGAAGAGCGATTGAAAATTGCTGGTGGTGGGAGGGGGAGCCGTCTCCAAATTCAACAACATATTCCAACTTTTTAAACTACGATATTTCGGGGAGGTCTGAACCCCCATGACACCCCGCTGTATCCGCCACTGCCTGGACTGCGACTTTGCAGTTTAACCAACAAATTGTTACTGGTGGAGACACAGGTGCCAAATATTATTTATTCGCACTGTGTTGACAGGTAGCTTCTTTCGAAGATTTTCAAAAGTTCGATATGGCTCATTCCACAGTTTCGCCTTTAGTCACAAAATTTACGATATTGTTTCAGAAATTTTTTCGCCAAACTTCATAGTCTTTAGATAAAGAGTGAGCTTTTGCGAGTCTTATTTATAATTTCAACTTTCTGGTCAGCATTGCACATTGCCTGTGTTACCACTCACACAGATCTAAACCGTATACCGTAGCAATACGATAGAGACTGGCTGGTTTTTAAGCTTTTGGAAAGTTCCTATTGACACCCCAAGACAAAAAATATCCGTTTATAATAATTTTAGATACTTCTGAATTATTAGTTCTTACCAGTAGCAAACTGCGCCTGTAACCTAGAAGACCTGACCACAGGTTTGTTGATTGTGATTCCTTCACCTCCAGCTAAAACCAACGCGAATCTATACGAAAATATCACAGAAAACCCGAATACAACTCCGAAAGCTCCCATTGTTCATCTATTCTACACTATCCAGTCACTTCAAGAAGAAATGCGTCCGTGTCAGCGCTCTAATACTGCATGCCGGGCGTGAATGGCAACAGAGAGAGAGATATCAGCAACGTTGCTTACGAAACGAACGCTCCTACTGTCGGCGAATGACTGAAGCACGGAGCGGTCGACTTGCAAGAAAAATAGGATTGTGGAGGGGATTGTTGACGCCTGGCGCTAGCGGGGTTTCCAAAGTAGTGCGGCGAGCCGCCAATGCATGCATTGTGGCAGTGGCGCTTACGAGGAATTATGTCACCGATCGGTGATTAATGCGATCGAAGATTTGGGCGCCACTAACCCTCCATGTCACAGGTGAAGGGCAAATATATTTTATAATTTGCACTGCCCTAGCTATTTTATTTTATAATTGCTTTATTACTGCTCTTAGAACGCAACTATGTTTGAATGAAATTGCCAGTAAGACAATTAAGCTTTTAAGAAGTGTTTTATTAGCGCTATGTGGAACATGTATAAAATTATTTTTTTAATATTTTCTGTCTAATAATATCGCTCCTGAAACATATTGCACTCAAGTGGTATATCTTAAGAAAATTATTATATAGGTATCATTTACACCGAAATAATAAAACCTACATATAAAAATTATAAAACAAACAAATGTTTGTCAGGATATAAAAGCATTTATTATCTAATACATTTATAAAACGGATAAGGCATTCAGTTTTCCGGATAATTCTGGAGCGGCTTTAAATTTGTTTAATTTTAAAACAGGGTATAGTTAAGAACTAAAATTCACGTTCTTCTCTTAGTTTAACAGATTTCCCAACTGGGAAAGATGTACCCCAGGTCGGTTAAATTAAGGCAAGAATGTGGATTCCAATGCTTAACCATGCCCCGTTTTAAAATTTATCGTTCCCGAATTATCCGGAAAAATGAATGCCTTATTCGTTTCATAAATGCAATAAATGCTTTTGTATCCTTTCAAACATTTTTTGCTTTTGAAATTTTATATATATATATATATATATATATATATATATATATATATATATATATATATATAGCTTTTATTATGACGGTGCTAATTATAAAAACATAATAATTTTTCAAGGTACCATCTGAATACAATATGCTTTAGCGAGCAATAATTTCAGAGAGAAAATATAGGTGAATAAATTTTATAAATGTTTCACAGAGCGCTAATAAAACAATTTGTTTTGTATTTTTCCTCTGAAAACGTTTTTGCGACCAGCTTATAAAGCAAAATACTTCTTAAAAGCTAAATTGCCTGACAGGCAATAATATTAAAACAAAATTGCATTCTAGGAGCAGAAATAGAGCAATTAGGACTGACAGTTTAAAATTGTAACATATCTTTGCTAGTTTCCAACAAGCATTGTTGTGATCCACGTTTTTGGCTCAGTTACATCTCTGTTATTAAAATTTCTTATAAAGCAGAAACGTTTGATAAGAGCTCCCAAGGTGAAAAAAGTATTTAATAATGTGGAAGCCGTATTTTATGTTGTTCCAACTCCACGTTACGACGCCCATTTTTAAGTGTATTATCCCATATATTAATCAAAAAAATTTCTTGCGTGGTAAAATATCGACCATCTGATTGCAAATCGAATTTCTGTCTGACTGTTATTGGGTGTATATCAGAACTAAATACAACATGGCTGCTGTAGTTACTCAAACATATTTTATTTGGCAAAAAAATCTAATGCTTGCCTTTTTTGTTCTATCAAGCATCGTTAAAAACAAAGCAAACTTTTAGTGTTAGTCAAAACAAAAAAGCTACATCTAAGATAATAAAAGAACTTGTCATAAACTGATTTATTCTCGATCTATAACAGTTTTTAATTAAACTGTTTTATAATTTTGCATACTATGTTTTATCATAAAAAAGTTTAATATCGGTACATTTAGTTCTACCGACAGTTAAGCCGCCATAAAGTCTGGTTTTGTATTTTGTCTTCGGCCTTGCTCTTCAAATTTGCCTGACGGATATTGCTCTGACCTGAGGGTCAAAAAAATCATGGTGGTACTGTGGTACGTTCGAGTTTCATGATTATGTTTTCGGAATCGTAAATAGTCATAGGGTAAGAAAATTAAACATTCAATTAGAAAACGTTTTCGAGAGATGAATATTCATATTTGTTTTATCAATCAAGATCTCATTTTCAACATTTTTTAGTGGCGAGCCAATATTCAAAGGAATGTCATTTCCCAAGCAAAAAATAGCAATTGTGTTGTGCGCATTTTTGAGGAAATTTACAGTTTTTAACTTTTAAAGTGAAAACAATACAAGTTTTAATAGATATTTTTAAACTTTAAGAAATGTAAATTATATCTCATTGTCATTTGTGCTTGATAAACAGTATAAACAGCATATTATATGGTTTCATTTAGCGGCCAGACAAACATAGAGGACTACTTATTTGCAATTATAACATCTCATCTTCCAACTGAGCAGTTACTGCCATATCGAGCCTCTCCACTTATTAGTGAGATCTGGCAACATACCAACGCTTGGTGAATGTTCTTTCAGTAGAAGCTGCGTTGTCTTGATTTGACTCGCCTTGTCCTAGCTTAACGCTCCATTAAGGGTGTCCACACAACAACAGCTATTTAGCTTAAGGGATTCAGACTCTATAATATAACTAGATATAGTTGATCATTTATGTAAAGTTAAAATCGAAATATTTGCTTTCCGTCTCTGGAACTACGGCAAATCGCAAACCGCACTGTTTCGTGCTTATTAGCAACTCATTAGTGTGGTATAGGTTCAGTGGTAATCAAATTTTCAGTTTTTTAAACCACCATAGCCACTCGTTTCTTTCCGTTTCCAGGACTACTAGAACTATACCGCCTTGATGAGTTGTTAATGAGCACAAATTCAGCACTATCTAAGGTTGGTCGTGGTTACAGAGATGGAAGGCAAACATTTGGATAGTGTGTATTTATGCATTTATGGAAAGAAAGGCATTATTAGTCTTCTTTGTGAATACCTGGTATTGCGGCTGCTGAATAAGACTACCGTTTTGGTGGTGCGATATCTATCTGTGCTTTGCGCAGAACATCGAGCAGTTGTGGACCGGTAACGTAAGCGTTTTCGGCCATCTTTCGTCACACGGGCTCATGATGATGAAGATCAACTTGGAAAATTATTTGTAATTTATGTACTATTATTTAACTAAACATAATGTCGATTTCTCACTCCTTATCTCATAATATTTAGCGACAAAATCATGAACTTGAAACAAGAAATCTTGCGGAAGACCCATTGCACAAATTTGTTATTGAATCGCATGCTACGAATGAAAAAAAAGTCCAAATTCTTGGTACTGCCAAATCAGCTCAGTATGTGTCCGTATATATTTAGCTGCTAAAATGAATTTTCAATTTAAGAAAACAAAAAATATAGAGGACCCACATTTACTGTGCTATTATCTCGTTTCATCGCCGTCTTGGAGAATGACTGGTTGCCAAGCAAATTTAAACAAGATTTGTGTGGAATCTTCCTCTAATGATATTCCCAAAACAAAATCATACTGGATGGAACATAATCAGTTATACTATTTCAAAAAAAGTGGAAACGATTGGAAATGATACAAAACCTTTCGGAATGTGGACTATTCGGGGAGAATTCTAAGAATCTCATAGATATAGAAGATCACCAGGAGCTACTATGGAGAGTGGGAGTGAACGCGAAGTCAGGGCAAACACAGAATCGCTCAGAACATAGTCTAAGGAAAGGTTAATGGACAACGGGAACTCGGAAGGAAAACATTTTTCATCATCAACAGAGCTGATTCGCCCTGCAACTAGTAAAATTCGTATAACTATGATGATATTCAACCAACGTTCGGATTCGGATAAGACAGCAGAAGAAAAAGCGGAAAGTATATGGGCAACTTAATGTCATCGCGGCTTTGTGGTCAGCAGTCTATATCTGCATCGTTGTTTATTCTTTCTCTTCTCTGAGAGCCAACACGGAGCCGTTTCAGCCGGTCTCCGGCCGTTTGTTCATGTCGGTGAGCCCCCTTCGCGTCTCCCGGGTCCCCCAGAGGCTTCTCAAGGCCCCCCGCGACTCCCGTCCAAACGTAATTACCACCGAGAGGGGCGTCGCAACGAGACTAAAGATGCAAAAGAATAATTTTAAGAATCGATACTTTTGTACTCTTTCGACAGTTTTCAAAGAAAATATCAATACTTTCCGACACGTAGATAAAAAATGACGTCCTGTTGATTTGAAGTGCCTACCACTAGCACGTGCGAGGCCTGTAAATTAAGTGATGAGACTGTTATTTTCAATCCTTTTATTCAAATATAATTACAATTTTATATTGTCATCCTCAAAATGGCTTCCTTCTGAATCCACCTAGAGCTGGAAGCGATTCTTAAGCTCCTTATAGCAGTGCTGGAACTCCGATACTGGAATAGCCTTCAGCTGGTCGATTACATCCATTTGAATATTTTCGACTGCCCCAAAGTGGGTAATTTTTCAACTTTGGGAAGAGAAAAGTCACAAGGACTCAAGTCAGGTGAATAAGGAGACTGAAGATCCATAGGAATGTTTTTACTGGCCAAAAATTCGTTTATTGACATTGTTGTGTGGCAAGGAGCATTATCCTGATGCAACACCCAGTTGTTCTTGATCTGATGATCGTGAGTCAAATTTAACTCTTCCCCGTCAACATACGGTCTGACAAGATCTAGGATTCTGTCAATATTTTCATCGGTTCTTGAAAAGAAGGCCTCCCGCTTCGTGGTTCATCTTCAATCGACCCTCTTTCTTCTGAAAGTACCTTAAGCAACCGAAAAACCTGAGCTCTTGGCAAAACACCATCGTTGGCCTGTTTAGCAAGAGTTTCCGTTGCACTGTGCCCAAGTCCGAAGCAACACCTGATAGCATATCATTGCTTGAAGTTGATGTCATTCATTTTTAGAACACAATAGAAAAAACTGTTCGACAAAAAAATCGCAACAGACAACCAAATCACTCGAGCGAGTTCAAACCTGTACTGAAGGCGGATCACATGTTCTCCTGTCTCCCCTCCAAGCCCGGTGCTACCACTGTCGCCAGATCGAACGCTACGTTGCCAGTCTTATCACTTAATTCACAGACCTCGTAAATCCCCGGTACGATTTCATTGGACTTTCATGGAAATCCTTGGATCCCATCAGACTTCATTGG